AGACAACTAAGCATCTCCCGAAGAAAGACCCTACTTGTTCAATTTTCCATCACTAAAGATATTTATTTTTTTGGTCAAAAAAAGAAATTCTGAAAGAAAAAAAGAAGTGTTAGTTTCTCATAAATTGACGAAAGGAGTGTGTCAAGCCAGATATGCAAATGGTCAAAATTGAATTCCCTTTATTTACCGTCAGAAAATTTATGCGAGAATTAGATGTTGTGGATCCAAAACATCAATTTTATTCGAAAAAATATGCTCAAAAAATAACACCTAAAAGTGAGTTTATTATTTATATAGCATCTGTGGAAAAGAATTTTACTCAAATAACACTTAAAAATTACCAAATATCTTTTAAGCCTATCTAAAAATCTTATTTACATTTGTGTCATTTTAAAGTAAAAAACCTCAAAAGAAAGGAAAATTATAAAACAAAGAATACAAAACCCCGAGAAATCATCTCATAAGTCCTTTTTTGTAAACATCAAACTTTTTATATCATTTTCTAGTCTACATATCCCCTTTTCAATTAATGAAATGTGTCTTGACGATTTTACCCTCTATTTATTTATTAATATTGTAAATGATTTATTTGAAATTTAATTAAACAAGAAAAAAAAAATCGAACCCAGAAAAAAAAAAACGACGGGAGCTTCTCTTGCTCGAGCTCCATTGACGTCTTCTCCGGCGAGCTGCATTGTTGCCGTTTCTTCCGTTCCAGCGAGCTTCCGGCGAGCTGCGGTGAGACAGCTATGTTCCTTTAGCTGCATAGAGCTTGAAATTGAAGTTTAGGATTTAGATATGTAGGAGATTCAATCCAATTAGATTTGGCTTATTGTGTTTGGTATGTACATTGGAAGTTTATTCATACTTTGTGGGTCAATTAGGTATTTAAGTGGGTAGCAAATGGATTACAGCAACTGGTGAATTGTAGTTTTGAACCCAAAACCATTCAATTTGAGTTCCTGTCGCGATAGTAAAACTGGTAGAACTGGGTAGAAATAAAACTGAATCTATTGAAAAATATATATGTAGTATGACTAATTACACTAGTATTAACCAGATGTATGTAGTATGACTAGTTACACTAGTATTACTCAGATGTATGTAGTATGACTAGATACACTAGTATGACCGAGCTGATTGAAGTATGACTGAACCACTGATGCTCTCCTCATCTGTTGCCAAATGAGTAATACCGTCCATGGAAAATGTCTCGATGATGACTAGTTACACTAGTCATACTACATATATCTGGGTAATACTAGTGTAACTAGTCATACTACATGCTTGGTAATACTAGTGTAACTAGTCATACTACATATATGAATAATACTAGTGTAACTAGTCATAATACATATATCTGGGTAATACTAGTGTAACTAGTCATACTACATATATCGGGGTAATACTAGTGTAACTAGTCATACTACATATATCTGGGTAATACTAGTGTAAATAGTCATATTACATATATCAGTAACACTAGTGTAACTAGTCATACTACATATATTTGGGTAATACTAGTGTAACTAGTCATACTACATATATATGTTCAATAGTTTCAGATTCATTTCTACCTAGTTTGACCAGTTCTACTATCGCGACAAGAATTCAAATTGAATGGTTTTGGGTTCAAAACTATAATTCACTACGATTTAGTTGCTGAAATCCATTTGCTACCCATTTAAAGACCTAATCGACCCCAGAAAGTATGCATAAACTTCCAATGTCCATACCAAACACAATAAGCCAAATCTAATTGGATTAAGTCTCTAAAAATCTAAATCCAAATCCTCACTTCCAATGTCCATAAACTTCCAGTTGATAGCTTGATTTTCTTGCCATATTACGACGGCGGGAAATGCATACTAAGCGGTTGTAGTGCTTCCGTTTCCTCGTCGATCTCCTGCAACAGACATTCATTCATATATTACTCATCTGCTAATAGTATTACTAGTATTACCCATTAATCAGACAAATAGTTATACCCTAGTATTACCAGTAATACTTAGAAATCAGACAAATAGTTCTCCATCTTCTTCCCCTACTTCTTTTCTTCGATCCGGAACATCCGTTCCTGTCTTCCTCTTTCTCCCAGCCATAATCGACAACAAAGATTTCTCGAAGATAAAACAGAGATTTAAAGGGAGAGAATTGGCAACGAAATCGAGAGATATATGAAGTTGAAATCGAGAAATCGGGAAATAACTGTTGTCTCCTTTGAATTTTTTAACTATTGAAGACGAATTGAATGAGAATCCACGTCGTGGAGAGAGGAGAGAAAACAAAAACGCAGAAAACGGAGAGAAAACGGTCATGAGAGGAGTTGGCTCGTTGAGAGGAGTTAGGGTTCGTGGGTTTCCGGGTTAGATCCGAAATCAGTTCGGTTGGGTGGATAAAACCCAAGTTTAGTGTGTAGTTTTAGAGTTTTGGCTGGGGTAATATCGTAATTTCCGATATTTTCGATTTAAAGTTAAAAACAATTATATTCTGTTTTTTACCGGGAGATATGAGGTTTGAGTTTGTCAAAAGGGGACTCCCTAGACGATTTCTCAAAATTCGTTTCTCTCATTTTGGTTTCGACAACATCCAACGGTGGCGACCATCTCATTCATGGTTCCTCCAGCACCGGCGCCGGTCTCTTAATTACTTTAATTGCTTAGTAGCTTCTGGGGGTGATAAAGATTCGCAGAGAGACTGAAAGAAGAGTGATCGATCGAAGAAAGATGGCAATAGAAGTAGCAACACCGGCTCCGACACCAATCCCATCGGAGAGTATCATCGTTCTCGCTCCGACAACAACAACAACCGCCAGTGTTGAGATCGGAAACCAAAATTCATCACCGGATCTACGTTTTTTTTTCAGATCCGACGAGTCTTCGTTTCTCAATTTTGACTGATTTGGTTTACTGGATTTCGAGATCTGCTTGATATAAGATTTTAGATTCAATGAACGAAACATCGTTTAGTATATTAACGGCTTGATTGGTTCTCCCGCTAGCACCCTCCTAGCGGTTGCTAGCAGTCGGTTGCGGTTGCTAGTGGTTGGTACCAATTATAGAAACCGCTCCGTACCGCTTCAAACAGCTCGAAATCGCTGAATTTCAAAAGCTCCTTCCCGCAAGCGTTTGCGGTTGCGGGCGGTAGCGGTTGGATTTAAAAAAAAAATCAAACGTTTATTTATAATTATTATAAAATATATTAATCCTATATATATCTTTCATCTTTGTATCACGTTCTTATCCAAAACCCTAATCAATATTTTAAAACCTTATTTTCTCAAGTCTTCCACCCAAACTGATGAAAATCAAGAACCAAACGTAAGTATCTATATCCTTTTATTCATTCATCACCTCATGTGTAACTCTTTGAATATTTTTCATGGCATCGTTTTTTTCTTTTTATTATGTATTGTTTTGCTTTTTGATTGAATTCAACGTTATTTACAGTTTGTCCCATTACTTGATGCAATTTTTGGTGTTAACCCAGCATAAAGTACTATCTTTTTTTTTTTTGTCGTCTAGATTTATTATTAATTGCAAATTATGAGAACTGTTACATAAACGATTCTACAACTGACAATTTCTACCGACCAAAGTAGATCCATGACAGACTACACTTCTTTCTTCATGATCTTGATGAATACCTTCAATGATCCACGACCTGGCGACACTTCCTTCTCTGCGTAGAATCTTGGCGCACAGCTATAATTGTACATCGCTGGAGATCTCCTGCACAATTGCCTCCATTAATCTGTAAATTTGTTAATAAATCGCAATATCTGGGACTCGAACCCCAGACCTCTTAGTGTAGAAGCATTAATCAACCCTTAGTCAACCAATGGGCCAAAAGGGCTTCCACCATAAAGTACTATCTTATTACAAAATTTCTTTATTTTTGAATAATTATTTAGTATTTTATTTATAGTTTTAATTATTAAGCATGTTCAATTTTTCTAATATTATAATAATAATATATTGGTATTTTTATTTCTTCTTTTTGTAATATTTTTTATTTTTTTGGGTCATTTTTTTATTTAACTGCTACCGCACCGGCTGGTTTACCAGTCATAAAACTCCCGCAAACGCATCCATTTTCAAACGATAAACCAGTCGTTTAAAACGCTTGGTAACGCTTGAAACCGCAACCGCCCGCTTCAGCAAACTCCCGCAACCGCAACCGCAACCGCTGCGTTTAAACCAGTCAGGCCCTAAATTGAACAATCAATCTTCACCTTGATTTTGTTTTCGATCTTTTTTTGTGTTCCTTGAGTTGCCTAAAACACCGTCACTGTTGCTTCTTTTTTTTCTTTTCTTGTGCTACTCTTTTTTATGCTCTTAACTTCTTGTTCTCGTTCCTCGACCTATAGAGCAAAATGCGGTAAGGCTGCTAGATGCATAATCAATTGATTACATTTTGAAGGCAGAGGATAGAGCACATAGGCGAGGCCAAACAAGTGCAGTCAATGTATACATCTTCTGCGCAAAGGCCAAACAAGTTTATCTCTTGACTTGTCACTGATCAAATAGTTTGGACCTTTATGACCTCGGAATTTATCTTTCGTATACCATGAAGTATACAAGCCAAATGTCTCCTTGATTATAAAACTCAGATATTTACTCGACATGACTTCTCATCTGGAAATATTAGAAGTCTGTCCTTTTGTTGAGAATGGCTCTTTGTTAGGCTTACACTACACCTTTGTCTCATGTCTATGTTGAGAATGGCTGTCTCGCATTCAAAATTCAGTGGTGGTCTCTATCGTTTCAAGGTGCAGTGCAAGAATAGGGAATCCAGTTGTTAAGTAGCTCTGTTTCTCGATTTTTCTGGTATGGTGGAAAAGTTGTTGGGTTTCCTGAGCCTGCAGTAGGACAAATACTAACTATACTGGATTTAAATGTGGTTCAGGGAACACTAAGGTTGCAGATTTCGGAGTTTGGGCAATAGTAATTAATGTCATTCTGCTACAATAATAACACATCTGTTATGCCATGGTCAAGTATTGTTAGTGCAGATTCTAATTATGAATGTAACTGATTGTGCAGGAAACGGGAATCTCAGAATACATATTACTTCGATTTAAATATAATAGATCTATCAGTTTGAGCATACAATACTTAGATTTCAAAGATAAAAGTTGCGAATTTGACTTGTCAAACCTCATAGCAAAGATTACTGAAGATAATATTCGGCTTTGATTAGGTGCTCAAACAGATAACCTCGAGACGCATGTGACCTGGCTTCCCATCCATTGTCTTTCGTACAACCGCTCTATAATTAGCCTCCTCGCCTGTCACTGGATCATACACACATTTAAAACATATGTAGAAGATTGCATTAGCGGCCTTGAGCCTCTCAGGCGGCTCTGTTTCAGCTTCTCCTCGAGTTTTGACAACAACCTTTTGAATAACCAATGGTAGGCATCCCGCAATATCTTCTGGCCAAAACCGTTGACACCATTTCTTGTAGAATGCAAACTCAGCGAAGAGATGCAGGTTAGGGTCCATCATCTCTGAACCATTCAACTGAGGGATCCACAGCCAACAGTCATCAACAAGACATGACTAGGATCAAAAACAACTACATATACTCTTTAGTTGATAGCTAGATGAAGCAGAGAGTTACCACATAGCAATGTTGCAGATCGTCATCAGAAAACCATTTGGGCATTTCACCTTTGTACCGATCATCTATTGCCTCATTGTCCCACTCACGATCCGCCTCTTCGCCATCTTTTTATTATCTCAAAAAGATAGACAAGAATCAAAAGTCTACTTATATGCACCAACCCTAGGAATGGAGTAACTGTTGTTTTACCTTTCACGTCGCAAAAGCATGTCTCCCACGTTGTTAGCACGGTGTCTGCATGCTCGTCATGCTTAACCCACGTCCTCAGACTGTATAGAGAATAATTGTCGGCTGGATCCACGGCCTCCATTGTAAAGAAAACCTTGGAAGCATACTGAGTATATATTCTTCTCACACCCTCAAACTCAAGGTTTTTACCCTAATAAGAGATAATAATGTAAGATGAGAAAGTGTGTGCTGCCTGTAAAACAGGGTTAGAACAAAGAAAAAGAAAAAACCTTCTGAAAATTGTAACAATAAAGTCCAAGTCTGCCGCAGAGGCCAATGTCATAACGAACAAGAAACTCACCATCCCTCATGCCCTGACAGAAATCAGAACCCTATGCACATTAATCAACAAAAAAAACATTGGGATGGAGATAATAAGAAATAAAGATAGACAAAAGATATTTACTCCCGATTCTAGATGTGCGCGACAGACACTCATATCATCCGAGACAGTCCAACCATGCCTGTCATATGCCTCCGCGGAATGCTTTCGCACCTACATCAAAATCAACACAGAAATTAGAACAAGTAACTAAACCATCAGGATCAAATCCAATTATACGGAGAGAAATTCAGCCAAACACCATCGAATTATCAAGAAAACAAAATCAGAAAGGGAGATAAAAATGTTTCACCATGTCTCTTAATTCGAGATACTCAGGATCATGAATAAATGATCCAAAATCGTCCGGCGGCGATTCACTCCCAATTCTCTCGTCCACGGTTCCTTCCATATCCCCAAATTTCGTTTGGCAAACCCTAATTTCTCAGATTTCGACCGAGGACTTACTAATATAAAATCTCGACGTATCGGATATACAATGTATCTCTCGCTGGACACCGTCTTTCTCTCTTTCAATGTTAGTTCTCGCTCTTTTTATGATCTCCCACAAAGGTGGTGTGTTGTGAGTTGTGACACAACGACGGTCGACGGCTAAAATGTCTCGTGAGACTGTCTATTGGAGAGAAGAAGATAAATTGGGCTTATGGGCTTAAGATATGTTTATTAAAACAATTGGGCTAAAAATATTTTATGTTGAATAAAGTATAAACCCAAATGCCAAAACTCAATGTAAAATATGTACCCCGGAGATCCGGTTTACAAATTTTTTATTATCCGGATCCGGATCCGGATCTGCAATTTCGATATCCGGATTCGGATCCGGTTAAACCGGATACCCTATTTTTCGGAGCGGATCTAACCAGATCCCGGATCGGATCCCGGATAATAAGTCTCAGGGCTAATATACATACCTTACCTTTTTCTCCGGGTCCCACAGCCCTTTTTGATTTACTTTTTTCCTCTCCACCCCCTTATATTTTGTTTTCTTTCGTTTAACACCCCGTTTAATCTTAGATTTCTTTCTAATTTACCAAACTTTAAAACTACCGCTCAAGTTGCTCACTAGTCCACCCACTGGCTTGTTACGGATCTGGATATCCGGGATTTTTGGGCAATATCCGGAACCCGGATATCCACTAAAATCACCGGGTATCCGCGGATATCCAGATCAGGTCCAATTTTTTTTTTTTTTTGGATTCCAACGATTGTACTCCAAATAAATCTTTCCCAACGTCAATCAACACAGTTGCTGCCTCTTTGCTCCAATAAACCTCCCTCTGCCGCTGCTATTTTATCCTCCACCGCTAGCAACGCCCGAAACAATATGTCTGGATCCTTTTGCGTCGAAGAATCTGGAGGTGTCAGACAATAAGAGCCGTAGATGTCGAAGCCACTGTTACCTTAATTCGTTCCAGTGGCGGCAAAGAAGACGGATCGGGTGAATCAGAAATGTCATATTGCTAGATCTAGGTTAGAAGTCGTAAAAGTAAAAGATAAGAGTTAGGTGAAGACGTGGACTGAAAATTGGGCTGGGTTTTGTTTAATTAATTTGTTTGTTTGGCATTGGGCAGGGTTTTGTTTATTTTTAATGGGTTTAATAAAATAATTAGAAATTACTTTATGTTATATAACCGGATCCGGATATCCGGTTCGAAAATTTTGTATTATCCGGATCCGGATCCAGCGGATCCGAGAATATACTATCTGGATCCGGATCTGGACCAACCGGATATCCGATTTTTTGGATCGGATAACGGATATCCGCGGATCCCGAATATTTGTCCCAGGCCTACCCACTAGGCCTTGACAATCGGTTTTGGTTCGCATCCGTTGGTACAGGTTGTTCGGTTTGAGTAAAATAATAATCATCCACACCTTCTTCAAGCGTCCAAGTTACTCTAGTTATAAAAACAGACCTGAAAATAAAATTCTTTAAATTAAACAAAATAATAAATCTCAACACAAAATGTGGATGTGCCTTTAGTCAAGTGGTTAAGTCCATTTGACTCCGCCTTCCCCACCGGAGTTCGACTCCACTAAGTCGCGTTACCCCGCGTAGTAGGGATTGACTATGGATCGGGCCTTGTCGATCCAAAGATGTCAAAAAAAAAAAAAATCTCAACACAAAACATAAAAAGCTATATATATACTGAAATCAGAATAATAATTACATCATCCTCAAGTCCTTGATCTCAGGAAATGTTTGCTCAACCAATTGTGGTGGTGACAGAAGGTTCACCTATAGCCATATCAACAAATTGAATAAACTCTTTATATACACCATCTATAATATAGTAAACATCAAGACATCAAAGACATACCCCTGAACTCATCAGTCCTCCAGAAGCGCAGAACACAGAAAACAGAATGATAGCGGAATGAAACCTAGTAACCTCTGCTTGTACACATATTCATAAAATCAACAGCATAATGCCCGAGCGCAAATGAGAAATTGTCCAACAAGTTCGTAAAAACTATTGAAGGGCTAGTTCAGTGAAATTTATACCAAATATCTTGAACATGCTGGTCATATGCTTGTCACGGTGAGTTGTTCCATAATCTTTACCCAAAAGAAAGTATGGCATCTTTTCAAGTGTAATCTTACCCAAATATGAAACATCTGCATGGAAAAATGGATTAAAAAAACCCTCACCTTTCTTAAAAACATATTAAAAATCCTCAACTTTTTTGTGGAGTTTTAAACCGTCTCCTTTTCATAAATAGTAAAATAAAATCTATTATTAATCAACTCAATTTAAATTCAAACAAATCTACATTAAAACATAAATAAATATAAACAATTTGATTTAGGATTTTTCTTCTAAAATTCTTGTTTACAAACTTTTTCTAAATTGAAAATTTTTAAGTATGATGTAAAAAAGTTAACTAATGAAGTTGTATTCGGTTGTGTTACGAAAATTCATCAACGTGAAACCAAACAGATTTTGTTACGAATGGTATATAAATTCTTATATCGAACAGAATATGAGTTTATGTTAATAAAAGTGTATTCGGTTCGATCACACAAATATACTAACGTGAGACCAAACCAAATTTTATAATACTATGAAAAGTACATGAATTTCCCCATCAAAATATTTTCGTTGGACGAACTAAATAAAATTTACTAACAGTTAATATTTCTATATATATATATATATCACGATATATTAAAACTATAATATAAATTACATTTAGTTAATCGTTATTTAACTTTATTTAATCCAAAAACTGAAAACTCGAACTAAAAAATAAATCAAATGTGCTATCCTATAAATTTTTGTAGTTTATATAACTTAACATCTAATGGTAACAAAAATTATTTGCCTAATCTCAACTAAATTGTGAATGAATTTTTATAGCACAAAAACCTTAAAGTTAGAAAAACAAATTGCAAACGAATTTGGAAAAAAAAATCAAATATTAATTTTTTTTTGTTTCTTACTGTTTTAATATAACGATTAAAAAAATTAAGTTGAGTTTATAAATATTATGGTTTATTTTACCACTTATGAAAATGTGAGGGTTTAAAAATCCACAAAAAAAAGTTGAGGGTTTTTTACATATTTTTGGAAAAGATGAGAGTTTTTTACCTATTTTCCACAATTAAGAGTGTTTTTTTTTTTGTAATTGGAGGAACCACTCATAAAAATCGTTTAATTACAAATTTACAACTAGTCTATCTTCCAGTGGCGGAGGTAGTGTTATACCATGGGGGTCAATTGACCCCCATGAATTTTTAAAACTTAATTTAATTTGATTAATCATTTATAAATTGACCCTATTACAAAATAAAATTTGACCCCCATCAAATTTTAATTTTAGAGAAAACCACTACATATTATATATCAAAAAGAATTATTATAATTAAACTCATTACAAATAAATTTTAAATAAAAAAATATCCATTAAAATGAGTTCAACCTAATTATCACTATTCTTTCGCTATTTTATGATTTTTTTTCTTTTTACTCCATTTCAATTAACATTATCCATTGAAAATCATATTGGAAATAAAATTTTAAGTTCAAATTTATATACTTTTTAATTTGACATGAAACGTTATGATGATTTTGCTCATATACTACAAAGAAAAATATGTCTCATTTTTTTATTTATCGATTTTTAAAACTATTTTTGATGTTTTAAAATTGCAATTGCAATAGTTGAAAGAAATTTATTTACTATGAATACTAGATTTTAACCCGCGGTACACCGCGGGATGATTTAATTTTAAAGTTAGTATGAAAATATTTTGTAAATTGTATCTCCTTATAACATATTTATTTATATTATAGTTTACAATTGTTATTAAGTAACGGTATACCACGAGTCCACGAGATAATTATTAATAAACTGAGGATTTAACCCGTATTAAAGCGGTATATAAATATTGATTCAAATTCGTCCGCCATATAAATCATTTCCGAAATATAACCCATTCCGTAAAAAAAATAAGGATTAAATCCGTATTGAAGCGACGGATTAATGATATTTTAATCTTTTTATTATTGTTGATTCAAAAACCCGTCCCGCCAAACCCATCCCGCCAAAAAACTCATTTATTTTATTAATGTTCTTATTTATGATATGATTCTGAATCATTGTCTAAATATTTTAATCGATGTAGAACGTTGAACACACATTTTCGTCAATTAAAAATATATGTCCGTTTTTAAAATTTCGAATCAGAGTATATGCAGAAAAAAATTGATTTTTTTTTTTACTTTATGTATTATATGATGATTCAAAACAGTTAAAAACAAATCAAACAAAGATGATAGGAGAATCATAATTATAAATCTTAATCAAATCTTCTAAAAATCTAAATTATTAAATATGGAATATCCGGTGTATGAGTTGGGTTAAATATAACCCGACCCAACAAATTTTTTGTGAAGGAATTTTTAAAATGGGTCGGATATCCGATATACCCAAAAGCTTTTTTACCCACCCGTCACAAAAAGTGCTGCAATTATACTAGTCTAGATTTTGAAAATGACTTCCCGTAGTCGTGTAACACTGTGACAAATAAAAAAATTAATAAAACATTTAAATGATATAAATAATTCTATGATAGATTTCTAAAAAATTATATTTTGATTATATCTTATTTTTTAAATAAAATTATATATATTTTATATTAAAAAAAATTGACCCCTATAAACAATTTTTCTGGCTCTGCCACTGCTATCTTCCAAAAGTTTTGATAGCTTAGCCTTTGTATAAGAGACTTCTTTTAATTGGTTAGTTTTCACTAAATCAGACGGTTGGATCAAAGGTTTAGTAACTGACATTAGTATATATATATATTTTCAAGTATTATGTTGCATCACCGATATTATATTTCTAGCTTTTGGAGTTCCATCTAGCGATCAAATTGATGCACACTCAATATCTTGTACCGCCGTCACCAGTAGTGCATATGTCTCTACTGATAAGAGAAGCGTTCAATGTTTTTAGGGAGACATTTTTCTCTCTTACAGAAGCGTAATTAGTTTCAAGTTGTGCTAGTCTTTATTTCTTATGTTTCATATAAGTGGTGAGTGTCGTTAAATATACAACATTGTCTGAAAGGATTACCTCTCACTTGGATATTTGTAGTATCTCCTCCACGGGTCATATCTCATATAGTTAAAACTAGGCCTAGACAAAATAACCAAATCGAAAGAATCGAACTGCAACCAAAGCA